TCAAAAAATGAAGCTTAAGTAGTTTAAATAAATTTCCTTGGAGAATGGTATGTATATTTATTTTGTTTAAGTATTGGAGGAGTTTCAGTTTTCAATCTTTGAGAATACTAGGGTTATTCATAATTTTTATTAATTCTCTTGTTGTATTGATAGCAATAATTATTTCTTAATTAAAGGAACTTATCATTCATTTAAAAAATAAATGTATACAAAAAACAGTTCAATGAGCAAATCTTAATAGATACTTAATTTGTACAGTAGTTTCGTACACCCACAAACATAACATAAACAAGTATGATAGTTCTAATAGAGAATAAATCAGACAATGAGATTCACAAAAGATTGGGAGCCATTCTGAAAAAAAATTGTTCACCTTACTAGAAACCATTCTAACATAAATAGAATAGCAAGCAAGGAAATTAATAAACTGAGATATTGAGTCATTTAACATCATCTCCAATTTAGTCTTTAAGATTTAAAAGAATAAGTTCAAAATAATAATTATAGTTGGAATCATATGAAGAACCAAGATAGTAATCAAAAGAGAATATGGTGTATAAAATTATGTCATCAAATTAGTGATAGATAATGTAATAAGATAAAAAAGTGCAATGAAAAGAGTTTAGTAACTCTTATTGAGTCTACAAAGAGACTATTAGAGGAATATAAAAATCGATTGGAGAAGGCTGAAGGCGAGAAAAAGTAATTAGAGTAAGAAGTATAATACTGGAAATAAAAATCTGGTTATTGATTATATTTTGATTATTATTATTAACAGATGGCAGTGAATGATGAAAGATATGTATTCATAGTAGAATGGTTTGATACAAGTGCATCTTTAATAAGGAGTTATAATCTAACATATTTTATGTCAGACAAAACTATAGAGATGGTAAGATTTGTAAAGGAATTTAGTTTGATTTGAAAAACAAAAGAATATTTTTGAAAAGATGTGAATATCCATCAGTGTAATTAAAGGATTTATATGTTGGATCTATTGTGACAGTTTATTCAAGATAATTAAAAATAGTAGATTATGCAGATGTATTTACAAGATCTAAATTCGAAGTTTAAAGAGGAAAGTAAATAAGTTGTATAAATGATAGAACATTTGGTATGATCAAACCAGATGCATATACACATATTGGTAAAATAATCACAGCAGTTGAAAGGAACGGTTTCGTAATTGGTAATTTGAAAATGACAAGAATGTAAATAGCAGATGCTCAACAATTCTATGCAGAACATAGAGTAAAACAAGAATAAATTTTAATTAGGGAAAACCTTTTTTTGATGAGCTTACATAATTTATTTGTAGTGATTTTATAGTAGGATTGGAATTGATAGCTGATAATAGTGTAAAGAAATGGAGAGATCTCATTGGACCAACTAAATGTTAAGTGGCAAGAGTAGAAGCACCAAATTCTATGAGAGCTTTGTATGGTACAGAAGGAGTTAGAAATGCTTGTCATGGTAGTGATGCTCGTAAGATATTATTTTATTATTTTATATAGCTGGATCAGCATAAAGAGAATTAGATTTCTTTTTCTCTGATAAATCTAATCTAAAATCAACTGCTGTCTTTAATAATTGTACATGTGCTATAATTAAACCACATATTGTATTAGAAGGAAGAGCTGGATAAATTATAGATATTATCTTAAGTGAAGGCTTTGAAATCTCTGCTCTATAAATGTTTTATTTAGATAGAGCTACCAGCGAAGAATTCTTTGAAGTCTATAAAGTATATTATTTAATTATATTATTTTTAGGGTGTACTTCCTGAATTCTAAGCTATGTCAGAACATTTAACATCTGGTCCTTGTATTGCTATGGAAATTAGATAAGAAAATGCTGTAATCATTAATTGTAATCTTTAGGTTAAAGCTTTTAGGGATTTATGTGGACCACATGATCCAGAAATAGCTAAAACTTTGAGACCATAAACAATTAGAGCCAAATTTGGAATTGATAGAGTAAAGAATGCTATACATTGTACTGATCTTCCAGAAGATGGCATACTAGAAGTAGAATATTTCTTTAATATTTTACAATAAAAATGATATCATTTGATGAACAATTTATTAATAAATCATTTAAAAAATCTTTTTTTTATATTTAGATTTTTTTTAATTTTTTATGATTTACTAACAAATTAATGATTATCATCATAAATTTAAAATTGCTTCCAAAAGTTAAGACTATTTCTGGTTAAGAAATAACATAAGTTTATTAATGTTTATTATATTATCACTTCTCATTTACTTAATTTATTTATACATTCATCAATTTCACCAATATATTGCTTAAATTTTACCCAATTATCAAGTTGCAAAGTAATACCTTTTTTGGTTGGCAATGATTATCCATCTTTATTAAAGAACTCTCTTATACTAACCATCACATTACCTTTAAACTTTGAAATAGAAACTTTTTTTAAAGAAGTTAACTTAAATTTAAGTAAAAAATAAAAATTACTTCAAAAAAATACTGCCCATCTTCAAAAGTATAGTTAGTTTTATTGTTCTTTTGATCTTAAATGTGTTTCTTGTTGGATGATATTTTAGCATAATTATTATCTTCAGAGGATGAACGATCTCTCATCTAATTTTATTAATTAAGATTTTAAATATAATGTATTATCCTTAGTCCTTCTATCCTTAAGTATATCCATAATATAGGTATTAACCCTATGGTGTACGTCCCTAAGTACCATAGTAATGGAGACCACCAGTTTATAATGCTCCATAATATCCATATCCAGGATTAAGAATACCGCCTACATAATATCCATACAATTCATACAATCCATACAACCCATACACTTCATCCATCATACCACCTACATATTAGCCATAACCTATGTTAAGTTAAATTATGTCTTCTCCTTAACGATAATTCTAATCGCCAGATCGTTTAAGAGGAGCATAGTCACCACCAAGGAATATGCTGATGCAATCACAACAAGTACCTAAATCACCTGCTCCTCAGCTATAATCACCAAATAGATAATATCTTACTTATGAACAAGTACAAGAACGTATCCGTAATGCCTAACAGTAGCAACCTTAAACTCATCATAACCCAAAATAATGTTTTTTGTATATCTAATTTATTAGAAACACCATAACCTAAGCCAAATTAATAAAAATAATAACCTGCGGCTCCTACTTAAAATTAATAGCCAACCTAAAAACCTAAATAGGATGACGATTTAGATAAGAGATATCAAAATGCTCTTAAAAGCACAGAAGAAATCATAAAAAAATATTAGATGGATGATTCTGGTAGCAAAGGTCGTTAAACTAATTAAGAAAATCAATAAGCAGAAGAAGATGGCGAACTTTAAGGTATTTATATCAGTTCCATTATAGAATTGGCATTATAATATGAGGATGGATTTATTTACAGAGGTTAGGGATATCCACCATAAACAAGAAGTGGTTTTGGTATTTTAACTGATTCTGAAGGATAACAGATTTATGCTGGATATTGGAAAGAAAATTTATATGATGGATAAGGAAGATTGACAAATCTTTAGATTGAAGAATTAAAAGAACCTGTTGATTGGAACAATATGACTACTATTGGCAATGGATGGGCTTCTTATGAAGGTAAATATATTTAATCAGCAACTTAGGAAACTTTTCTTAAGGAAAAATGCATGGATAAGGAACACTTATTTTATCTAATGGTGAATAATATTTTGGAGAATTTGAGGATGGAATGGTACATGGTGATGGAGAGTTCACTAATCTTGATGGATAAGTTATCAAAGGTAAATGGGACTAGGGATACTTAATTTAATTATCAGAATAAGATTGAAATCATTAAAATAAATTTTACATATATATAAATCCATTTCACCAAGTTATTTTTATTTATTATACCCTTTTATTGCTAAATTAATCTTTAATGTATTATCTTAATTTAATTAATTTAAATTAAGCAGAAATTCTATCTATTAGCATTTTTAGATTTTGATATTTTTAATATCACTCAGATTATGTGATTAAATACCTTTAATAGATTATAAAAATAATGATAAAACCTATTTTAATTAATTATTTTAATTATATGATTGAAATTGATTATAAACGAATACCTTAATGGTTGTAAGAAAGAAACAAATTAAGCTAAGAATGGTCAAAAAAATATAAAGCCTTACAATTAAAATAATTAGAAATTCTAGGAGAAAGCAAAAGCTCTTATACTTTTCAGGATTGTTCTGAAGAATTGGAAAAGTTGAAGTCCTCAGATGAAGGAACTCAAAAAACGATTTTCGGTGGTTTTTCATCTAAATCTATAAAAACAATGGAGAATTTGCTTAAACTCTATTAAAAAGAAAATCTACACTTTGTTAATATGGGATAGGCTTTAATTTAACTTTTGACATATGACATGTAATTTATTTTATTAATTTAAGACCAGGAATTAAAAAATAATTAATATTGAATGATCAATAATTGTAATCAACAGAATAAAGAATTATTGATTCTCAAGTCTAAATACAAAATCATAAATAATAGTTTGAAAAATAGTGTAAGAAATATGGAATTGAGGGTTAAAATATTGAAGAAGAAGTACCAAATATGATATTATAAATCCCACCCTTGTTCTAAGATATTGAATAATTAGCTTTAAATAATAAAACCATTTTAGATAGCATTGAATATTACAGATAATTTTCCTTATATACTAATGCCTCTTTAGATAAATCAAAAATAGTCACAAACTTAGAATCATTTGTATTAAAAGGAAATTAAAAGCCTTTAGATTGGGAAATCATCGAAGCTCCTAAATCTGAAGAGATAGATTGGATGAAATATATTTAACCTTAACAAGTCAGTATTTCTGATAGCGAATTGTTAAATACACAATTTCGTAGCAATCTTATAATTAATTTAAATGAAGTATTCATATTAATATTTTAGTTAATTGGATTCTATCAAGGAAGATTAGAGTAATTGAAATAAGATCAATCTATAGTTAATTTTGATGCTCAAAATAAATTATTTGAACTTTCATAACTTTAATTATCAAATTATTTAAATGTATTACTTTAGTTATTAGATAAATTGATGAATCCTTGGCTTAGATAACTTTTGTAATTAAAATCATCAGTTAAGTAAATAATTAAATTAATTTTAGAACTTAATAAAGAATTATCAAAACTTTAGAAGAATTTGCTATTTCAATCAAGAAGAGTGAATCAAATATTATTCATTCCTAAAATAAAATAGCTGATTTGAAATCTGAATAATTTAAATTATAAAACTAATTAAGAGATTTTCAAAGTTAAGTTAAACAGATGAAGTAATTTACAGAGAAACAATTTACAGATTTATTCAAAACAGAAATTAAACTAATTGGATGTGATTGTTGATAAAATAACACAGATATCATTTTTACCATTTAATTTCTCCTGGTTTCTCTTTGAAAGGCTATTAAGGACTAAGACTGATAGCATAAAGATTTTTTTCGTCATTCAAATATATATTGGCTTTAATTAATTCTAAATAAATTAAGTTGGCTATTATGCAACAAACTTCAGAGATTGAAGGGTTTTTATTTGTTGGATGCGATAGCCGAAATGCCTGATTGACTAAATTATAGTAAAAGTACTTTTTAAAATTATTCCAAACGAATTTTATTGGCTTAATCATTAATGAGCCAAACTTTTCTGCATAAATTCCTATAGCAGAGTATTTTTAATTAATCCATCAAAATTAATAAACTTCTCTTAATCCAAATGGATCGATATTTATCAATAGCTTATTGTAAGCCAGAAATATTTCCTTATCTTACACTTTTACATAGTAATTCATATTCTTTAAATTAATCAATTAATTCTTTGTTAGGATATCTTCCTATAAACATATTAACTGGAATTAAATATTTTAAAACTTGCGTTGCACATGATAATCCTTTTTAAGTTCTTGGACATTCTTATAAAACTTAAGTTAAATGTTAGGATGCTTCATAAAATTTAGAATCAAAAATAAGGATTCTACCTTTATAATAATGATATGTTATTTAATCCTATTTAGGTGATGTTAATAGAAGATTTGATTCTATTTCAACTTTATCACATCCAGCTAAACTATCAAATTTAAAGGCTTTAAAATAAATTTTCATTTGTTAATTAGCATTCAGTAACTTAAATTTTTACATATTTTTATTGTTGACTTCTCTTCCCATTTCATTAAATATCTATAAGCTTTTGTTTTCAAGTTTGTCTTAAACATCAGTAACTTATTTTATAGCTTCAGGATCATTTGCTTTTCTTTTCATTATCTAGACAATTTTACATTATTCAGTAACAACCTACTTACATAAAAATTGATAGATTTCATGACGTTACTCATCTAGAAGCCATTTAGTATTTTTGAAAAGATTTTCAAAATGCTCAATAACTTAAGCATTTCCTCTTTCTCTTTCCCTATAATATTATAGTAGACTGCATAATAATTCAACCCATCCTGGATGACTTTAACGAGCATTTTCATTTAATTTTTTGCATCCTAATGAATCATTTTCTAATCTCAATTACTTCAAGGTTTATTCTAAATCTAATCCTAATAAATTTTATTCTTTTCCAGAAAATATTCTCTTTATATAACTAATTGCTTCTAAACATTTTCCTTCTCGAAAACACCTTAAAATAATGAGTAAAATATTTTCTGATTATTTTGTAATCATATATTTTATTTAATTAATGGCTGACAAAATTAGGTATACTTTAGAAAAGTTTATACCAGATCTCCTGGCTCTCCAAAAAAAGCAGGTATTCTCTAAAGATGAAGTCAAAGATATCCTCCATAAAAGAGAGGAATTTGAATATATGTTATAGCGTAGAACACATAATCTGAGCAACTATATGTAATTGCTAGACTATGAATATGGCTTAGAAAGACTCAGAAGATAACGAAATAAGGAACGTTAAATTAAAAAGATTACTTCTAGAGATTATGCAATTGTGAAAAGAATTATTTATATATGGGATAGGATTATGAATAAATACAGATACAATATTGATTTATGGAAACAATATTTGAGCTTTTGTTACATTATTGAATCCAAGAAACATTTCTTTAAGGTTATTACCAAAGCTTTGAATTTCAATCCATTTAATATTGATCTTTGGTTAGCCGGAGCTCTTTTTGAATTAGAAAAAGCTCATAATCCAATCAAAGCAAGAAAAATATTTTACTAAGCTTTAAGAATCAATAATAAAAATGTAGAATTATGGACAAGTTATTTGGATTTCGAATTGAACTAATTATAAATTGGATAAGAATAGAATTAAAGTATCAAAAATTCTGATGGTTTTTTACCATTAAATACTGTTGAACCTATTATTCAGATTAAATCCAAATAGATTGATGGAATTAAATAAATTATTTAACTAGCATTAGAAAATTGTGATAATTCTGAGTTAAGAATATCATTTAAAAAGATTTTAATAAATCATAATTAAAATGATTTAGCTGAGGAAGTTTTTCAAACATCCTAGTTAGATAACTCAGAAAAAATAAATCAATTTCTATTAGAAAATTTAAATGATCCTTTAGTATTTGAAAAATTGAAAGATTTAAATGTTGATTATAAAAAAGAATTATTATAATTTTTTAGAGATAAAGCACACTCCTTAGATAACTTTTGGTAGCTAGCTTTTTCATAACCAGAAATTTAACCAATCCTATTAGAAGAAAGCAAAAATAAACCTTTAAAATTTAAAATTTAACTACTTTCTCAAGGTCATTTACAAATTGATTAAATAAACTTATAAGAAATTCCAAAATAAAAAAATAAAAAAGAATTACTTGAAATACTGTTGTTATTAGTTCATTTATACAATAAAGAGTTTTCATTTGATATTGCAAAATAAAATTTATTAGGATAGACTGAACTTTTCTAAACATTTTTAGATGAATATTTTCCATTATTAAATAATGAAGAACAATAATAGCTTCTTAACTGGTTAGAAAAATAGAAGTAATTTTGCCCTCTGAAATACCATAAATTAAGAAAACTAGATTTTGTGTAATTAATGAAATTAACAGAATATCATCCTAATATAGAAACATGGAAATTTGTTTTAGAATAAACAAAATAGCAATTTCCTTAAAAAATTACTCAAGTTATGACAAGCATTTAATTTTTAGACCCTTAAATGAGAATTAAATTATTAAAATGATTTTGTTAATCTGTTTTATGTATAAAAATTTAGAAATATGATATAAAAATAAAATAGAAATCCAAGTAATAGATATTATTTTATAGATATTATTTTGCTAACCATTATTTATACTATGGATTTTTAATGTTACATCTTAGAGTTTTTAAGCTATCTCTTAATTTGCTTTTGAAAGAAGGCTCCACACTTTTATATTTGTGTTTTAATTTTTATGGCACATCATATATGTCTTTCTTCAATTTATACTTTTTTGACTCTTAAAATATTCATGAATCTAATTAATTCTTCTAAAGTAAACAATTTTTATTAATCTTCTTCTAGTTTCATAAAATCAAAAAAGTTTTATTAATGTCATATAAAACTTTTCAGAAAGGAAAACTGCCAAAACTTTATTTGCACTGAAATCACCTTAAATTATAAACAAAGAGAAAAGTAGAATAAATTGACTTTGAAATAAGAAAAATGATCTTAAAATTAAAAAGGAAATAAGAGATTTATATTTAGTTTGGATAAAAATTGTTTACAAATGGAATATATTATTTAATATTAATAATATAACAGAGATCAAAAATGCAAGTGTAAATTTATAAATATCTGAACCAAGTTTTATTTAACTTTTTTTCTGTTAAGATAAATTTTTGTAATTATTTAAGTGAAATGAGGTGTATAATAGATATTTAACAGAAAGAAAATTGCTTAATTTAGGATGTCAGTTAGAAAAGGTTGAAAAAGAGAAGAAGATTTTTTATCTATCTGACTAAGTATGAGCTTTTTTTAATACTTTTAAAAGAATAAAAAAGGTTATTCATGTGGTGCATTACAAAAAACTTGTTATTTTATATATAATATTGAAAGTTTCACAGAAATTTATTGAATTCTGAAAACAGTATTTTTCTTTTTAAATGATGGGATAAAATGAATTTTAGGGTAAATTAGACAATTAAGATATTGATGAAAATTATTGAATTGCAGAAATACAAAATATTACATTTAGCTTTATAATTAAGTTTATGCTAGTATTTTTACTTTAGTAAACATATATTATTATACACATTTTAATTAATAATTAAATGAGAAACTGATCGAGTTTATAATTCAACAAACTTAATTCTGTTAGATATCACTCATTTTTTTTTAGGATTATATCCATGTTTAGATAGTTTCTTTTATACTTTAATTTTTTAAAATTAATTATTGAAATAATCTTTATTATTGATACTTTCGATATTATTTTAAACAATAAGCTCTTTTCTAATCTTACAGCTCTTCTAATGTAAATGCTTCAGGGGGTTTTACATTACAGATTTTTAGTTACATTTGAATTGGTTAAAGTTAGAAGACAATACTTTTTCCAATTTCAGTCTTCTTTATATTTTATTTTGATTCTAAGGTAGGAAATCTTAAATTCTTTCTTATATTCATTGATGATTCCTGAGTGTCAATTCTTTTTGTACCATTCCTTCTTGACATAATTCTTGAAAAATAATTTCTTGTAATTTAGTCATTATCAAAATTATTATTGCTCACGAAATTGAAAGATAAATCTATTTCCTTAGTTACAATTCTTTTGTGAAAACAATTATACTGTATTCCTATAAAATTTGAACTATTAGACATAAAATTTATACAATATAATATATTTTATTAGTAGAAAATTAATTTTTGTTTGTAAATTGGATTTCATCTTAATTCTAACTTCATTATCATTTTAATTATCACCAGTCGTGAAAATTTAAATTAATAAGACATTTAAAGATGTTATAAATACCATAAATTTAAATATTTTAAGATGTATATTCGTAATAATTCTTTAAAATGAAAAAAAAAGGATTTTTGCAAATTTTGAGCAATATGGTAATAAAATCAATAAAAAATTGAAATAAAATTTGAATGATTACTAATTATTGAATATATATTTCATTTACAAAAAAATCATATATTAAAGATTAATACTTAGAAAATTATTTATATTTTTAATATAGTCTGCTGTTTAATAGTTATGATTTTGTAATTTTGAATCAACATAATTATTTTAGAATTAATTCCCATATAAAATCTTACTATTGATATAAAGGGTAAGAGTTTAAAATATTACATTAGAATGTCCTGATCTGGAAAAATTTATTGTTATAGAATATTTTTTTTGGGAAAACTCAAATCAATTTAGGTTTTGGTTTTGAAATTAAGAATAGTAATTTAATAATTTTTATTATTAATAAATGAGATAAAATAGTGAGTCATAGAATAGAAAAGGAATAAATAGAAGAGGAAGGGATTTTCGTGGCAAAAATAAAAATTTCAGAAATTCTAGTGGAAATGATTAGCGAGACAATAATTAATAAAGAAATTTCTAAAATAATAAATTTAGAATATAATCAAATTCAAATCAAAACTAAAGTTCTGATAGATAAAGAGGCTAAAATAAAAATAGTAAAAATTAAACTTAAAGAGGAAGAGGAAACTAATAAGAATTCAAATAAACAGTTACTTAGCGAAGAAGAAGACTGGGTTTTAAATAAAAAAATTAAAATATAATTAAGTAAATTTTTACAAAGGGTGAAAAAAGGATAGTTAAAGATTAATTAAGATAGGTAGAAGAAAGAATTAAGTAAATTTTAAGATTGCAAAAGAGATCTAAAGTATTCATTTGAACATAATTAGGAAAAAATAAAATGGAATAAGACTTAGTTAAATATTGGAAGTAAGGATACTAAAATTCTTAATCTTTTTTCATAATTTGCTTCTTAAAGTAATTTAAAATTGAAAAAGTTTTAAATTAATTTTGTTCAAAGTTTCTTACTTCTTTTATAAACTTCATCAAGCTTAGCAATCATAAATAAATAGATTTAAAAAAATAAAATTGAATAAAAAAATTAAAATAATTAATTATTAAATTCCGTTTTACATTTCTCTTGAATTTTTTTTGGATTTCTTAATCTAGAGAAATAATAATAATCTTAGCATTCTATGAAGAGACATTATTTATGATATTAATATTTTTAAAACCCTTAATATTATATCATTTTTAAAAAAAGAATTTTTGTTTATTAAAATAATGATAATTAAAAAAAATAATCATATTCCAGAAGAAAAAATCTTAAATTAGTTTGTAAATAATAGATTTTAAATCCTGAAAAAATGAACAAAAAATTATCAAAGAAAACAAAAAATACAATATATAAAACATTTTAAGAAAACAAGAATATTTTTAAATAAAAAATTTCTTGATTGAAAAGCTGGAAAGTATATAGTTATATGTCATAAGTTTTAAAAATAAAGAATTATGACTAAAATATAATTGAATGACTTATGAGTTTTTCTAAAGATTTTATGAAGAATAAGTAATTTTACAATTCTAAAAAATAGTTAGAGAGTTTGAATATTTTGGATAAATATAAATCTAGAAAGCAATTAATAACTATTGGAAGGGTAGTTATTGAAGTTTTAGATTAATTAATAATGGTGAGCTAGGTAATAAAATAAAGTTGAAAAGAATGACGTTATTGATAAATAAAAAAGTTAAATTGAATGATTGAATAAATTGTATGATATTAATAGGTGAGATTTTAGAATGTTTGTATATAAATATATTTAATAAATAAATTATTTAATGGGAGCTTGTACATCAACGAAACAAAAAAGATATGAGATAGTGAGGACATTAATGCCATATAAGTAAACAATATGAGTATTTAATTAGAGTTCATATATTGGCAATAATATGGCCAAAGAATTAGCATAACTTATTTGATTTTGAGTCCAGTTCGTATTCGGTGAAAGAGATTGAAGTTGATTTTTCAGGTAATTTGATGTAAAATATATTATTTTAGCTCAATTAGCAACAGTAGATAAGGAACTTGTGGCTTTAACGAAAAGCGAATGGGCTCGTAACTCGATTGAAATAGCAAATATAATATTAAACGAATAATAAGCATAAATACACAGTATATCATAATAACAAGATCACAAATTATGGGCTGTATTGAAATCAGAGGCTAATTAGTTTTAATCAATAGATGTAAGAGTTTTTATATGTATAAAGCATTGGGATTTAAAAACAGGAGATATAATAAAGTTGGGAAGAGTAAGAATGCAATTATTGGAGTATGCATTCATGACTCCATGTGATGAGGCAACCTAATATTAAGATGAGTAGGATGAGGAAATTTAAACAATTAGTGATGTAGCTAGTTGTAGAATATGCTTTTCAAGTAAGGCAAGTGAAATAAATCCTTTGATAAGTCCATGTAAATGTGAAGGATCAGTAAAATATATACATTTAGAATGTTTATAAAAATGGATTGGAATTTAACTAAAAATAAAATAAGGCGATCATTTTATCTAATATCTTTGTAAGAGATTAGATTGTGAAATTTGTAAGTTTACTTTTAGAAATACATATACTTTTTAAGATAAGAGTTATTCAGTTTTAAAATTACCTAAACCTAAGTCTTCCTATATATCATTTAAAATTACGAATGATGATAAATCTAAAGAAGCTATGATTTATGTTGTTGAAATAAGTGAAAAAACGGAATTGAAAATTGTAATTATTTATATCTAATTTGTCTAGGGTAGAATTCCTGATTGTGATATTAAATTGAGAGATATCTCAGTTTCTCGATCTCATGCTTTGTTGAAATTAATACCTACTAATAAACATTCTGTTGAGAATCCAGATTATATAATTAGAGTTTAAGATTGCAAAAGCAAATTTGGAACTTTGGTTTTAGCTCAAGATGAAGATTTATTAATCATACCAGAAGATGGGAAGTCTCCAATCTTATTTTAAACTGGGAGAGTTCTTTTATAATGTGTTTAAAAAAAAAAATTAACTTAAAAACCTGCATATAAACATCCTGATAATGTTGTATTAATTTAAATAGAAACTAAACCATAATTAGATCAATAAGAATAAATGCAAGATTCATTTGTGACTCATGATGAACTTACTGCTGGTGATATTATCATTAATAATTCTTAAAACCCACAAAAACCTTAACCTATTGAAGATGTAAAGGAAGATAGTATCTCTGATGAAAGATGATACAAAGTGTAGTTTTATTTTATTGATTATTTTAATATTTTATATCTATATATAATTCATATACAATTTATATGAAAAAAAAATAATAATAACCATCATAACCATAATGTTAGACACCAAAATAAAAACATACACTCTAACCAATTACATCACCCAATTCTAACTCGAATTCTTTTTCATAAATATTTTAATCTTATTATCCGCGTACTCCTGTTAAAATTGTTAATCAATAAAAGTAAATTGTTTAAATAAACTAATTAGAAAAGATTAACTAGGCTAAGTTATGGAAAAAGGTGTTACTAAATATTCAGTGGTTACTTAAGTAACTTTCAATTCTACTACCTAATTCTAATCAGTTTCTCTTCATGAACATTTTGCTCAATTTTAAGTTTATGATAAAAGAAACAAAATTGCAGACACTGAATGGAGCCTTTTAAATTTAAAGACTTCATCATCACTTTCAAGTAAAACATAGCTATTTTATACTTTGACTAATGTCTTTTAAGAGTATAAAAACAACACAAATAATTATTTTATGATTTCAAATGCTATTTTTTTAGCCTTTTTTTCATATTCAAATTAGAAAATACCTTTTTGTCTCTTTATTACAAGATAGGATGCTTTAAATAAATAACTATAAAAATCTTAGTTTTTAGAACAAAAATAAATAGAATCTATTGTTTTGGGAATTGAAACTCCATTATCTGTACTTTTTCCATCGAACCCAACTTAATTTCCTACTAAATATACTTTATCATTAATTTAAAGAAAACATATTTAATATTTATTCAATATTATACTTAATTTAGCAATAGAGAAAGAAATAATAGATGTAGCTGCGAATTTTTCATTTCACAATTCTTATTTCAATAGTATATAAACATATAATGGGATTGATTAAATTGAAAAAGAAACATAAAATTTATTTGAGAATAATACAGAGTACAAAATATCATTTGAAGGATTGTTTAACATTTAGTAAATTATAAATCTTAAAAATTAACTTTAAAAGAGTAATCCTGACATAGTTGTTTCTGATATTAAATTAAGTCCTTTAACAACTTTAATTAATGATAAATTACTTGAATAGATAAATAATGAATTATAATGAATATTTTATCATTATTATTACTATTTAAATTATTAATCAACATCTTCATCTAATTATTAATTTTCATCACCTTCATATAATTTTTATTTATTTTGATCATCTTCTTCTTCTTCATTTTAATCAATTTATTCTTCTCTTTCATAATCTTTTTCTGCCTCATCATCATCAATAAATAAGCCAGGATCATAAACAAATAAAGCTCTTCCTGTCATTTATGAATTATTTCCTGCTTATTTTGCTCCTAATTTATGGATATAAATTTTCTACCTTTTTTCTTCTATTCTTCTAATTTTTATTTTTCTGCTTCTAATTTTTTTTTTTCATTTCTTTCTTGCTTCCATTTTTCAAAAACTTCCTTTGTAATTTTAGTTCCACCTTTTTGTAAGTTAGAAATTTATTCATCTATTTCTTCTTCCAGATCACCTTCTTATTTTTATTTTGGTTCTTCTTTTTTTCTAAAGACATATCCTTAAGGAAGACAATGTTTATAATGACAAGTCATTCCATTAGGACATACCCATCTCCATCCATATTTACCTTTTTCTAAAGCATCTAAAAAATAATCACAAACTTTTGCTGATGGAATTTAACTATTATATTCCAAAAATCTATACCTTTTATATGTTTTTTCATTAGCTTCAACAATATCTTTCAAAGTCTTCTCATCCCAATTTTAACATGTATCCCATTCATCACCTAATTATTCCCTCTAATCTGTATATAAATCAAGTATTGCAGTCTTTTATTCCAAACTCATATCATGTGAATACATACATTTCTTACCTTTCTAACAAAGACCTAACCTTATCATATCAACCTACCTTATTTGTAATATTCACATAATATTGATTTTGGATCTACTTCTTCTTCAGATTCTTCTTCTTTTACTTTTTCTACTGTTTTATAAAGTGATTATATCAATCTCTCTTCCTCTTCCAATTACTTCTCTATTCTTTTCCTTTCATATTCCTCTGATTGTAATTTTGACAAAGAAACTCCACTATGTTTCACTTATTGAGCTACTCCTTTGCAAAAACTACAATTATATAATTATAACAATTACTTTTACACCTATTTACTTTTGTTCTTATTTTTTAAACCAAATGTTCTATCTTCTATTATTTTTTCTTGCTTTTTTTTTTCGCTCTTTTTGCTCATCAATCTATTAATTTAAATTAATTAACACCTATATTATTCATTTTTTAAAACAAATCAATCCTTATTGGATCTTAATAATAATCATTTTATCAGATTATACCATATCAAATTTAAAATGATATTTTAATGATAAGAAAAAATAATACTTAAACATTTATATAAAAAAAAATATCAATATATTTAATTAAAAATACACATTTTTAAATAATAAGATATTATGAATAATATTGATGAAGAGGAAAGAGAAGATGCCTTTAATTATGAAGATATGGCAGTAGAAGTGCCATAACATAATGTAGAACTTGGTTTATATGAAATGAACCTATCGATTTACTATAACTAATTGATTGAGAATAAAAACTTGACTTTATAAAGAATGATGAATGAAATAAACATGAATGGAGAAAACAATATAATTTAAGAAGAGTGAGATAAACTACTTGATTAAAACTTTTTCATTACTTTCTTATATATAATTAAAAACAATTTTCAATGATGATTTTTTTGAATATAATCTTGGAACTTAGAAAATTTCTGATTTATTTATCTTACTGCCAACTTAAAGTAAAGTAAAGTAATAAAGAGTGATTTATGACGAGAAAATACTTTTATAATATATTTTTATCTTATTTAATGAAATATCAACTTTCTGAGACTGAATGTTAAATAACAAGACAATAAATAATATTTTCTAAATTGATAATGAATAGATTATCAAAAAATTTGTTAAAGAATTCAAGATTTTTGTTTAGTGATTCTTTTTATTTTTAAACTTAGTTATGAAATCATAATAAAAATGGCTTAAGAATTTTGGGCATTCCTAAAAGCATTTAAAAATAAGTCTCTTCTGGTTTAACAAATCTTGGGAATATGCAAACTTGAAAAATAGGAACTTATTTTTGTTAGGGATAATTAAAGTATTCTTCTTTTAAGGATACTAAATCAGAATATTTTAATATATTTTTGTATAATATTTTATCATAATAATAAAATTGTAGTTATCAATCAACAAACTCTAAAATTGTGACCACTAACCCATTTTGATTTGTTTTCATCTCTATGTTTATAATCTGCTGGATTACTATAGGGATTATCATACAAAATAAATGGAGTTCCCCCTTTGATTGTGCTTACAACACTAGTTCTAATACTTCTAGGTCCAATTATTTATTTATCTTTTTATTTCTACTCAAGTCTATCTCTTTCTACATTAGTAATATAAGGAGATGAACATCTAACAATTGGATGTTCTCTACATAAATCATAATCCTCTTTAGTTGTACCTTTCGATACTCTAGATTTAGCTGTTTAAACTCTAGTTAATTTAAATGTACGACTTTATGTTGTAGATTATGGTCTTTATCTAATTCTCTAACCAGAACTAGCTAGCATTGAAGTATTCATACTTCCAGGAACCTATAAAGTTTAAATTATAAATATACCCATAATGGTTCATTTTCAGGTAATAATTATTCATCAATGTTTGGATGCAACATTTATCTGATTTCAGCTGCTGTCTTATTGAATTTTTCACTTGTATCTTTATGTTCTTAATTTAATTTAGTAGAGAACTTTGCAAATTTAGATTTTTCCAAATCATTTTCTTCTGTAGATTATTTTGTTCTTGGAGATTATTTTTATCTCATTGTTTTCATTGCTTCTTATAATTATCCTTAATCATTTATAGCATTATTCATAACAATCTCCAATTTCTTTGCTTTTTTACCTGTAAAACCAACATGCTTAAATTTAGTTAACACTTCAAAATTAAAAGCTGTTCTTTCACCTTTCTATTAACTTTCTGCTTATTATTTAGTCATATTTTCTAAATCTAATTTATTTTTCCTTAGATCATTATTAGCTTATTAAATTGACAATGGTTTATTGATACAAGATCGTATTTAAATCAAATAATGGATTATGAAATTTCTTAAAATTAATTATGTTTCTGGATATTTTGGATTAATATCAAATTATAACCCTACTATATTTTCATTAACTGTTATAACTTATGGCCCTTTTGGAGAATCTGCTAAATAAACAAATGTTTTTTTTGGATTTAAAACATTGAATGGATGGATATCCCATGCATGTTTTGAATGAACTAAAAATTCCTAATTAATATCTTTAAATAAGTAATGTTGAACAAAGTTCTTTTTTATCATGCAGATTTCCTCATCTTAAGTTGATGTATATAATCCATAAATTTCCTTTATTTTTTAAGGTTTATAAACTGGTGCTTATAACATATACTTTCCAACAGTATTAAATTCTTCAACTGCTCTTCTTGAATGAATCCCACAATTTGCAATTGGAATCCAACAATTTGATGATTCAATCTTATCAAAGTAAATTCCATACAAATCTCCTGTGATACTATCTAAAAAATATTCATTCTTAGTAATCTAATCTAAAGATTTTTAAAGTTTACTCATATCACCTAATGGACCACCCTATGGACCATTTACTACTTCAACTGGCTAAATATATTAAAATTTTATTCTTACAGTTTCCAAATTAGTTGCCACAAAAAATACTAATGCTTACATAGCTCCTGCTGTTGCTAACAAAACCTTATTTGTTCTTAAACACATTCTAATTAAAACCATCACCTAAATTATTATTCATCCATCTACTTTTTTCAAATATTTCGACCATGGCCTTAAATTAGCATCTATCTCTATAAAAACTAAATCTATAAAGTTAAATTAATTCGCTGCTTCTTATTTTGAAAAACCAGATTCTTAATCGTATAGAAATTCATCTAAATCATTTGCATCTCTAGAAAAAAATTCTGTCTCTGTGTCCAATAATTCTTTTTAATTCAGAAATAACTATCCCTATTTTAAATAGCTTACTTTTCGTATCTATCCACAATACTTTTCAAACTATTGTTTACCAGTTTCTGATTTTCCATATCCATTTACAATTAATATTCTCATTATAAAAATAATCAAATACTATTTACATAAATCCATTATTCATTATTAGAATAATAATCACTAATTACACATTATTTATTAACAATTTTATACACAGAATTTTAATGATTATAATCATCTATTTCTCTTGCTTCTTTCACTTTAATAACTTTCAGGTTTATTACTACTTTAATATTAGCTCATTTTGATTTCCAATTTTAGTTTCTCTATTTATTCTCTTAATTGTTGTCTTTCTTTTGATAATTTTATTATATCATCTTTATGATCATTAATTTCTTAATCCTTATTTTTTAATTAATTCTAAATCATCTACTTTTCCTATTTCAAATAATTTTAAAACTGTTGCTCTTCTTACAAATTTTTTTTTAGCTCATCTTATAGTATCAAATATTCTAAATAATCATTCATTCAAATATATACCTGTCAATTTTTTTTCCATATTCATTATTTCTTTATTTTATCTTTCAAGCATTATTTAGAATTTATTGTTCTCAGCAGTCAATTTTTTTATTTTATCCTAAGTAGGTTTATCCTCATCTTATTAAAATTATTGTTATTTTTAATCATACTCTTATTTTAATTTCTCTTAAAACCATTTCATATCTTATGCACACTCTAATTTCGTATTATAAATTTGACTATCCTTTTCAAATTCTAATTTTTTTATCTACTCTTCCAATAACTTTAATTTTCTATTTTTATCAAAATTTGATGGTTCTAAAGATTAACTTTTTGAAATCTTATCGTTTGAATTACTAAATTTATAATTAAAAGATTATTATGAAAATGTATTTGTATTATTGAGTCTTTATAATTGAGTTATTGTTTTTTTTGCATCATCTAACTCTAACTAAAGCTATTATAATTGTGGAGTTTATTTTTAATCAGATAATTTTTCAACAAATATATTTTTTTTAATTGAATTAGCTTATGAATTAGTTTTTAGATATTAATTTTCTGCTTTTTTTATTATATTCTATAAATTTTAATTTTCTGAAATGAGTTTATCTAATTTTTCTTCTAAATTTCGATTTTTTTATTTGATTTCTCTAACCTCATTAGTTAATATTTAGATTTCTTAACTTCTTTTGGCTGCTAAAAATCCTAAAGATGCATCAGATTATAATATGTTATCGTTTTTTAACGTTTATTTTTATTTTAATTATTGGATTTCTTTTTTAAAGTCTTAAACATTCTTTTTTAAGATTTAGTTTTCATTTTATAATTCAACAGTATTTTTGATTTTAGTTTCTAATTTTTAAATTGTTTTAACAAGTTTTGAATTCTCTAGAATCAAATTTTGTATTTATGAATCTTTTTAATTGGATAGATTGTCTAAAGAATTTAAAGATTATTTTTATTATTGGAATTTATTGATTTAATCACTAAATTGAATAGCAGAATTGTATTCTTTTTCTGTTTTTGATATAGCATTTTATAATTCATTAATTTTTTCTTTGAGTAATTTTTGATTGAAAATCGGTTTTGATTATTCTAAAACATCATGTGATATGTGATTTGTATTTGTATTGATCTTATTCATTCAAAGAAATTTTGAAATATAATTATTACGTTTATTTTGTTTGAATTAATTTAGAATAGTAAATAAAATAATGTCAATATTTATAAATTTATTTTATATGTGATATGTAAAATCTACATTTATCATTGTTATTATTATTATTTCTAAAGCATTTATGGAGGAATGTTACCCATCATACCACCAGCTTATGGTTAGGCAAATGAAGTTTTTCCTAATAATTGGACAACACCTGTTTCAATAGATTTTAGTAATTCCATCATATCTGGATCTTAGAATAATTCTAAAGTATAATAAAAATAAAAATACATGGATTTTCAAGATTTGAAATATAATCTTCTTCTTCATAGCTATGTTCTTCAAAAATCATATCTCCCATGACAAGATTCAATACCATAGGAACCAATTATCCTGATTCATATGTAGCAGGTAATTTATCAATCATATTTTTTAAGAAATCTTATTTTTCATTTAATAATTTGATTTGATATCTAATAATTTCCTTAGTTGCATTCATCTTAACCTATTTCTATTTAGGTAATTTATCCTTGATTCTTTATCTTGCTGAAGCTTGTAACATAAATACATGTTATCCAAGTCCTCTTTCCATAAGTAACATTTCACTTTGCTCAAGTGTTTATTATGAAATATCAATCTTCTTACAAATTTCTTCTTATGCTTTCATAAGTAAATTTTCAACTTCATTAACATAATCCAATAATAATTAAACATATTTAGCTCCATCAGAATAAAGAACGTCTCTTCTTGCTTTTCTGTTTTCTAAAGTTATTCTTATAAATTCAGGTTCAGCCAATTCAACACTGCCTTCAACAATTTAAGTATATGTCTTAATGCTTATCATATTATTCGTATTTGGAATATGCATAGTTTAAATTTGTGAAGCAATTTCATTTAGTTTATCACTCTTGAATGTGAAGTTGGCTTATCATAAGAATAAATTATGATACATTTATCATTTCCTTCATTTTTTGGTTATACATCTACAACTTTAGTAACTTCCTAAGTTTCTTTAGGTTTGAAGACTTCTAATTCAGCTAATTTTTAATCAAGCCATTCATTGGTTTCTTTTATTTTATCAGTTACTGATAAATTATTTCCTACCCATGGTAACACTATGCTATTAACTTATCCTTTAATAAGTGAAGGATTAAGTAATAATTCATCCTTATCATTTTTAAAGGCATATTATATGAGTGATTTTAAAACAACTGGTTCTAATTTTTTATCTTTAACCTTTTACACTAAATCCTTAGCATCATATTATCTCAAATTTTTAATGTTTATTAAGAAAACTCTTTATAATGAATCTTTGAGTGTGTATAATCTCTCAAATAATTAATCAAAATGTTTCATTAGGTTATGTTCAGTCTACTCAACAACTTCCCAGTTGACCCTAGAAGATGAAGACAAGATTACATTTTTTCATCACCCAAAGAGGCCAAGACTGTCTCGATATTAACTGCTAAATCTTCAACTGTAATAGACATTCAACCACAAATTAATTAAATTTAATTTATATTTTCTAAACCTTTTATTTTTATATTTCTATAAATACATTACTATATCTTAATAAAACATATATCATACATTCAATCTCTAATTCTCTGTTTCCTTATAATAATTAAATATAATTTTATAATTATGAGTCTCAGCATTCAATTATTTTATTAACCTTCTCTGACTGCATCCTACTTAAGAAATAATCGTTTCATGTCAGCCTATGATTTTACATTGATATTCCCATCGATACCACTTTCATTTGGAATATCTAGTGATTTAGCTGCTGGATGGTCTAAATTAGTTTATGAATAAGTTCTCATGAATAAAACTCAATAAAAAATTGAAGTTGAAATTCAAGGCTTGACTGAAAAAGAAGCATTTGTAGTTGAGTAATGTGTTAAACTTTTGTTTGGGTTTAAAATTGATTTTTGTATTTAAGATGTTTGGTAAGCTTTGAAAGTTTGTGATCTTATTGGAATCACTTAATCACCCTAAATTGAAGGTATTACAGTTTAAGAATAACTTTTATCTTTTGCTATCCAAAATATATAACAAATTAATCTTTTTGAAGGATTAGATTATGCATAACAATTATTAGAAGTTGGAGGAGAAGGATTACTTATTCACAGAACAGATATAAGATAATTAAGTTAATAATTAGTGGATAAAATTAGAGAAATTATTATTGCAAGCAAATTTGAGATACTTACAAATTATGCTCATAATTAAGAATAAAGTATTGATAGTCAAACAAATAATAATAATAAGTTCTTATTGAAGGATCTGAAAAGAGAGCATTACATTTAATTGAGGACACTCTTTTACAATTATATTAATTAATAAAATTCAGAATTAACAGCTAATCAAAATATTGTAAAGATCTTATTTGAAGAATTAGATCAATAGTTTGAATTAGACAGTTATGTTAATAAATATTTTGAAGAAGTTACTTCAAAAATGTAAACAATCGATGTTTTTATCAATAAAATAGATAAGAAATATGAAGCTTAATTAAATAAGTTAAATGAATTTATTAATTAAGAATTTGAAAATCTTAAAAGAGAAAATAAAATGTTGAAAAACCAATTATATTTTGCTCATAGAAGAATTGAATAATTTTAGAATCCAAGAATAGTTTGTCAATCTTAAATGAATATATTTTGTTTCTCAAATGGAATAATTAAGTGTAAGAATGATGGAGTCATCCATACAGAGAATATGGAGAACTACATTATAAATTGTATAGTCAAATTAAAAGATAATACCTTAGCAGTAGGAATGTAAGGAGGAGATATTCTCTTGTATAGTAAATAATTGGAAATTATATCCACCCTAAAATTATCATCAGTTATAAAAATAGAAAAAGCATATGATGTTGTTTGTATGCAGGCTTATGTAAGAGTTATTATTTAATTTAGAATAACTATTTAATATCTTCTTATTCAAATAATATATATTGTATTTGGTGGAATTAATAATTAATATTTCATGAATAGATTGAATAGTAAGTGAGTGTTATATTTTGTAACCCACAATTAGGTAATTTTATTCTTTTAGGTTTTTTTGATGGTTCAATTAATTTTATTTATCTAATTGAATCTAAACCATAGTTATCAGCTGATTATATTAAGAAACTAAAAAATTCAAATAATGAAGTAATTAAATTAGAAGTAATTCCTTAAAACAATGATTTATTAGTATCAGTTCACTCAGATTAACTAATATGCATTTGGAATTGGGAATAAGAAAGTGTTATATAAGCAATTAAGATTGAATAACAAATCTAAGATATTTAGATATTGTTAGATAAAAAAGATTAGAAAATATTGAGAGTATTGTTATAAAATGGATATTTGAATGATTATAATGTAGATTAGTAAAACTAACTAATAGAATCAATATATGTAGATAATAAACCCTTTTAGTTGGAAGGTGAATAATGTTTGACTTATGATGGGAAAATAAAAAAAATTAAAAATGGGCCTTTAAATTGTTGTAATTATCATTTGCAACACTAATCAACTTTTTATCATCATCAAGATAATTGTGTATATGGACTATTATTAATAAATTATCCATATGTGGCATCGTCTGCAGATGATAAAACTATAGTAATTTTTAATTTGAAATCCTAAGAAAAGCTAATTTTGAGAGGTCATCAAAATTATATAAAAGCAATAGGATTACTTCAAGAAAATAAGCATATAATATCAGGTAGTTATGATACATCAATTAAAATATGGGAAATAGCAACAGGGATCTGCTAAAATACATTAAATGGTCATACAAAACCTGTATTATGTTTATAGGTATTACATTAAACATAGTCTATGGTTGTAAGTGGAGGAGAAGATGGTACTATTAGAGCATGGAATTGGAAGACAGCAGTTTGCATTTGGAAGACTGAAAGTAAATTAGAGATTTGGTCGCTTTTGGCTATTCATGAACATTGTACTGTTTTAAGTGGAAATAAGTAAAATAAAATATTATCAATTTAGAGATGGATCAATAAAAGTAATTAATACTGGTTAGTCAGGAGAGAAGAGTCAAACAATAACTGAATTAAAGATTCATAAATAATATGTAAATTGTATGATACAACTGAAAGGTTCTATAATAGCTAGTGGTTCATCTGATGCTACTATACAAATTACTAATTTTTATTCAGGTGAAATATTAAAAACTTTAATTGGTCATTCTAATATTGTTTGGTCAATCTAAATGATTGATGATGACACCATAGCTTCATCAAGTACAGAAGGAAAAATTAAAATATGGAATTGGAAAGAAAGTCTTTGTTTGAATAGTTAAGTAGTAGGAAAAGGATCAATCTATGTATTATTAAAATTACCTTATACAAATAAGCTTATTGGTGGAACTGCTTAAGGAGAGATTCTATAATGGAAAATATGCAGAGAAGAACAAAAATTAATATGATTGTTTATAAATTATAATTTATATACAAAAAATGAATGGAATGAAAATTAAATTATAAATATTTGATACTGCTGAATAAAGAATTTTAGTTCTATTATATCATAGTTATTATAGATCAGCAATTGGTAACAAATATGAAGGATAAATAGTTTATAATATAAGTAATAAAAATGGATGGAAGAAAAAAGAAAGAATGGAAATGAAAATATATTAATAGTATTATGTGGAAGTAAAAAATTGATTAAAAATCTGAGTAATAAATATTCCTTTTATTTAGAGAATTACAATTACATATGAAGCAGGATTACGATATATCTAATAAATTTAATTGATATTTTTTGAGACATCTGCAAAGTAGAATATTGACATTTCTTCTGTTTTCAATTGATCAGTTTAAATATATTATTATTAACTATTGTTATTATTATTATTTATAATAATAAAATAATGAAAAGAATTTTGAGTTTATTTAGATTTGGATCAGGTGGACATGGTCATCAACATGTTAAATTAAACACAGTCTAAAATTGGATATCAAATGATGGAGGTAAATTAGTTGGAATTACTGGCTTTTCTGATCTTCATGATCATCCTCATCATGATAATACAAACCCATATCAACATCTAGTAGATGCTCCATTTTTCAGGTTTATTTTTTTATATATATTTTAGTTTTGAGAGATTCTATTGGTGTGATCCATATTTCCATGCTGATGAAACTGATCCTTTAGCTAATTAACCACATGGTTATTTATTTATGGATGATGTAAAATTTTGTATATATCTTTAAGCCCCTCACACAAGAAAATAATGTTGAATTACCACTTTATGAATTGATTTTTGTATTTACTGGAGCACTTGTATGAATAATAACCTTAATCTGTAGGGTTTAATCATTTTGTATGGCCATAATAATCTCCTTAATTAAAGCAAGGGTGAATAATTCCTATAAACACATATCACAAGAGAACTCTTAGAGGAAGAAGTTAGAAAGATTAGAGAAGAGACATCTTAACTCGAGTAAAGAAAATTAAAACTACAAGAATTATTGGGTTAAAACTCTTGACCATTTAAATAAATCATATTCATATAATACATTACAAAAATATTACAGCAGATATTAAACAGCAAATTTAAATATCCTAAATAAATAATCAATCATATTTTCCAGGAAATTATTCAATTTATTCTAAATCAAATTCTTTCTTTTTCTTCTCTCTTAAAATATTAGTCAATAAATACTATCCAATAAAAAATGAATTATTAATTAACTTTTAAAACTTAATCTTTCTTTGGATATATTTTTTATTCCATGTTTTTTTTAAGATTTTTAATTCATTTTAAAAATTTTATATTTTCTAGTCAATAATTCTAGGAATGATTTAATCAAAAGTCTAAAATTTTGATTTATTAAAATCCTGTCTTTTCGATTAGAAAGCTTTCTAAAAGAATTCATTTAGAAATTTGATAAAAGATATTTATAATGAATACATAAAAAATTATTAATAATTAAGAAGAATTTATAATTTGATATACAGATACAAAATTATTTTTAGTTTTGTATAAATAATGATCGATTAAATATTTTCTGAATTAGAAAATGAATTAATAATGAAATAGTAAAAGATCTTAGAAATTTAAACAATTATGATTTAGAGAATAAAATTCCTACCAAAATTTAACAGAATTAAAAATGAAATGTAAAAGAAAAAATATTTGAAAAACATTGAGGATACTTTTTAAATTCTTAAAAGAGAATTTTTCGAACAAAAGACTTAAATAATAAATAAATGATAAAACCCTATGTGCTTTATATTATTTATTTTTAAAGAACTCTATTATATAGATTCAATTTTAAATAATAAAAGGTCAAGATCTAAAATCACTATTTCTAAAAAGAGATTTCGACGATTTTTTAAAATTTAGTAAATAAATTAAGTGTATTTAATCTAAAAATAAATTTAAAATTGCAAATAAAGATTCAAAGTTTTTGTTTAAGATTAAGTAAATAATTATTGAGATGATTTTATTGTTAGAAATCAACAGATATTTATTTATGATAAAATTTGCACATAAGTAAAAATTATAATTATTAAAATTAACATTTGTAATTGTAATTATGTTCAAATTGTGAATGTTTCAATTCCTTGTTTGGTAACAATCTTAACGATAAATTTATTTTAGGCAATCAGAAATCTGGTCTATAATTCTTTAATGCATTTCTTAATTATTTCAATTCCTTCTTCTTTTGTTAAATTCTTATAATAATAATTAATTTAATACAGGTTTATACTAATTATCCAATAAACCTAACAAAAAATAATTTGCATAGCCTTAAGCTCCTCTTGTAATCTTCTATAATGATCCTAAATAATCAAGCCAATAAAGTGATGGTGTGCCATCTTAATCAACACCTCCCAATAATCCATTACATTAATGAGGACCATCTCTTGATCTAATAGCTTAAGCATACATTGATCTTTTTGATATAATAAATAAATTTACCTAACAAAATGAGCAGTTTCTTTAAGATTCATATATCCTCCTGTTTTATATCTAATAAGACAATGATTTTTATGAACTAATTCGCCAAAAGAATTTCTATCTGCTCCTTCTCCTGAAATTCCAAAAATCTTATGATCATCAAGCTTAAGAATTTTATCTTCAGTTTCCTTAATTTTTAAAATGCTATGAGCAATGCTACCATCGCATGCAACAATTACAAAATCACTTCCTTATAACCCAAAAATTGAATCCATATTAATTTAAAAATAAATTATACCGATGTTAAGAAATTTTAGATTATATACATATCTTGAAATGATCATTACAAATATTATAAATAAATGGAGAAATTAACAATCGATCATTTCACACTTCTAAAAGTCATAGGAAAAGGTTCTTATGCTAAAGTAGTACTTGTAAAAAAGAATGTATGACGTGATTCTTATACATAGGATAATAAAGAAATATATGCGATGAAGATTTTAAAGAAAAAAAATATAGAAAAAAGAAAATAAGAAGAACATGTATTAGGTGAAAGAAATATCCTTGTAGAAGTAAAGCATCCATTTATCATAAAAATGTTTTATGCTTTCAAAAGTGATGTTAAATTATACTTTGTTCTTGAATATTGTTCAGGAGGAGAGTTATTTAATTTATTATAAAAGCGAAAGGTTTTCACAGAAGATTAAGTAAAATATAAAAATATAACAATAAAAAGGCAAGATTCTATGCTGCCCAAATAGTTTTAGCACTTGAACACATACATAATCATGATATAATATATAGAGATCTTAAACCTGAAAATGTTTTGATTGATGCTTAAGGTTATATAAGAATAACTGATTTTGGATTATCAAAAAGAAATGTAAAAGGTACTAAAGATGCTTAAAGTGTTTGTGGTACACCTGAATATCTTGCTCCAGAAATATTATTAAAATCTGGTCATGGAAAACCTGTTGATTGGTGGACTTTAGGAGCAATCATTTATGAAATGTTATCAGGATTTCCTCCATTTTATACTTAAAATCGTGAAGAATTGTTTGAAAGCATTAAATTTGCATAATTGAAATATCCAGTCAGTCTGACTCCAGCTTGTAAATCTTTATTAGAAGGATTATTCTCTAAAAACCCAGATAAAAGATTAGGAAGTAAAGGAGCTTAAGAAAGTAAAATTAATTTATTATTTTTTAGTTAAAGATCATCCTTGGTTTTTAAATGTTAATTGGGATACCCTTTTGAAAAAATTATATAAACCACCTTTTATTCCTTTGGTAAAGAGTGAAGTTGATGTTTCAAATTTTGATCCAGAATTTACTGAATAACCATTAGAATCACATGATCCAAATTCGTTATCGATTGGAGGTGAAAGCATTGGTTAAAAATATTAAGATTTTACTTATGATGCTAAATTGGAATGAAATATCATCATAAATATTAAAATAAGTTAAATTTGTATTTAAAGTAATATAGTCATTTATTTATATATATATTCTTGTTTTAAACATAAACTTATTTATTAATGATTTTAAATATTTAGAAGATATCTAAAGTTTAAACTAAATATCATAAATTATGTTTTGAATAATCCAATAAATTAATTATCAAAACATTATAATTATGAAATTTATCAGACAATAAGTAGAATTATTCAAACTTAAGAGATTAAATAAAATATTTTGATCAATTATTTTCTAAAATGACTATTATTATATTCATATATGATTTCAGATATTCTAACAACTTTTACAGGTTATTTGAAACATTTATAAGTGAGGAAGCATTCTTCTATTAATGAATGTGCAGTTCAATCACTTTATGGTTTTGTTGAAATTAATATTGATACTAAACATCTTTTATAAAATTATTAAAAGGAACTTTCTTTATAAGAATATAAAATATTATTTGATGGGTACAATTCAATTTAATACTTATATTCACTTATTCAGAAAATAATAATAAGAAGAGATTATTAAATTGAAACTAATTTAGAAAAACCAATATGGTAGGAGAAGGTATTACGAAAGAAAAAAATGTAATATTTTTTTTATGAATTAAAAAAAAAGAATTGAATTATGTTATCAGCGATTTGGTTTTGTTAATAGCATAAATCAATAATATTCATTTTTTTTTCTTTGAAAAAATGAAATTCTAAATGAAAAATAGAATTTTGCATCTTTTTCGTTCATAATATCTTAAGATAGTAAAAATATAGTCATCTTCGTATGTCGTGGAAAAATTTCATTAGAATCAAAAATGATTTAATATCCATAATTTAAGTTTTTTTAATATGATCCATATACATAGATTTACAATTGAGAGGATGATAATCCAAAAATGAAGAATTTTTGACATTTATAAATATTAAAATTAATTGAAGAAAAATCAAATTCAATATTTCACTCTTTTAATAAACAAAGTTAATATTGAATAATTATACTTATTAAATGAAGTGAATGTATTTATATAAATTCTTTTTCCAAGATTCTGAATTGACTGGGAGTATAATTTAAATAACCCTTATAATCTCCTTATTAAAAATGTTTCTTTGGGGATGCTGATTTTAAAAAGAAATATCCTATGAATTTATTATTCTAATAAGGGAGAAACATGGAGTAATTATTATCATAAACAATAAATAAAATTAAACTATGAATGATTGATTGATAATTTTGTAATTTTTTATGAATAATTAATTGGAATAAAAAGTTATTAACTAATGGAAAAGCTTTGTACAAAAGAGAAAGGAAGTCAGAGACATTCTTATTACATAATACAAACAAAGTTATATAAGAGTTCTTAATTCATATAAGGAATTAAAAAAGAGAAGGTTTTAATAATATATTATCAACAATGCATCTAATTTAATCTATAAAGCTTTGAAAATCAATTTATGGAAAGTTAAACATCTT